TCGAGCGTGATAGGACATTTCCTTGCGAGTCCGCATATCCGTAAAAAAAAAAAAAAGGTACCGAGAGTAATGTTGCAGATATTTTTACAAAAGCTCTAAATTCTATTAAATTTGTAAAACATAAGAATGTATTAGTTGAATAAGAATATTTTGATATTATTTTTTTGGAGTGATAACATTTTATGATCATTAGGACAAGGTGTTGAGAAAACAAAAATTTATAAGCCGATTAAACGCGATGGAATATTGTTAACCGCGGTTATATCTTTGGTCAGTCCTTTGGTTATCTTTGAAACAGCGATTGTCGACCCTTTTTGATTAACCTGAGAGCTCGCGTTTATGCTATAGTTATTCCGTTAACCCCAATTTTTCCGTTCTGTTCTGTCTTGTGATTGTTTTTTGTTAAATTTTCACCTAAAGTACAGTACATTATTATTATGTTTATTATTTGGTGAAGTTTTAGTGTTTAGTTTTGTGTTAACCTAGATCAAATCTTCAAAGATTGATTTTTCGATCAGTTCGAAGTTCATTTTTTGGAGTTGCACAAAAAAACACAACATACAAAACAGAACAGAACAACGAAAAACCCGTCAAAATCCGCCATTTCGGGTATTTCTCCTTTATTTAGAGGTGGGTTGCGATTTCATGAACTGTGACTTTGTCACTGCTACTTGTCTGTCACAGTCACGGCCTGCTCCAGTCCCAGTCAAGTAGCAGTGACATTTTGTCACTGCCTGCTTCAAGCTTCGACCGATACAGCGCGGACAAAACTCGAGCAGTGATGCAAATGAAATAATATAATATTATAAATCGCATCGCGGTCACGTCAAATAGAAACTGCTACTGCAGGGAACAGGCTGGAAACTGGAACATCTCTCTCGGCCGTGACTGCGGATTGCGATTATGCCATGTTGCGATGTATCATTAACATAATATTAACAGTACGGCCGCCAACTAAGGTAAAACTGCTCCAAAAAATCACTGCTATTTGTCACAGTTGCACGACTGGAGCAGTCACATCTTGTCACAGCTCCATTAAAATCGCAGGTTGGCCCACCTCTACCTTTATTTACTTTTTCAGACAAGGACAGAACATAATAACCTAGCTCCAAGCAGAGGTAGGTTAAAAATGGTTGAACCAAAGATAAAAACAGCTGATTCAATACGTCACAAAGGGCCAAATGATGACGTCACTACCGAATGATCAAAAATAACCAAAACCGCGTTTACGTGAATGGTAATACCATTTTTAACTAGGTTATTAAAGGCGATTTTCAGCCTGAAATGATTATTATTTGGTTATAACCAATGCATTTCCGCCGTCGCGGTTTTAACCAAAGTAGGGGAAGTTGTGATGTCACATATCAGCTGATTTGCTTTTGGTATTTACCACTTATAACCGATTATAACCCAGCTTTGGACTTGGGTTAATCTTTTGGTTACAGCTTTTTGATGTTATTGTTATTATTTTGGGAATTGGTATTGGTGTTTTGTGATTTTGCAGTTGTGTTGTGGCCTGTTACAATGGAAGAAGTATACACTCACTCACTCACTCACTGCAACTCATCATGTTTAGATCGAGGTTTAGATCATCCCCAAAGAAAATCTGTTCGATAAACGAGACTAACGAGAGATTCCGCTCTAATTTCTGTACCTAAACAACAAACCATTGTTGAAACGAAAAAACAAATAGGAATAATAAACATAATCCTATACTGCTATAACCAAATCATTTCAGCGGTCAGTTCCTTGGGTTATGATTCTTGAGTGGTGGGGGGCTATGACTGTCAAAGTTGTCAACCAAAAGAATAACCACGGTATTTACCGATAAATAATCATTCCAGGCTGAAAATCGCCTTAATATTCCATCGCGTTTAATCGGCTATAGTTTAAATAAATAATCATGAAATGTTATATTTTGGAGTTGGCAACATTGAATTGGCAGTTGAAGGAATTTGGTTGTCAACATAAAAAAAATGAGGTTAAGTTAGTCTGTAAGAATGTTTTTCGTCACATTTAAAAAACGATTTAGTATTTAGTTTTTCGTAATAAAAAACCTTATAAAAAGCAACACCCTTCGTATTTTCGTGTTTATTGAAAAGTAAAATAAAATAAAACAAAATAAATCAACACTAGTTTTTACTACATTAGTTTACATCCTTAAACAATTTTTTTTAGATCTCGTTTTCATCTTCCTCTTTGCCTATCAGTTAATCAAACCCTGCGATTGGTATTTTGATCTGAGTTCTCCGAGCTTGAATTTACCGTTCGTTTATTCAAAAAGTGTACTCGGAACAGGCTCATTCGCATTTGTTTAATAAAATTTCAGGCACTCTGATACAGCGTTCACCTGCTCTGTTCGATCGCTAATCACGTGATTACGGCTGTAGGCACTAGCTGCAGTCACATACATAACCTCACTTCCGTTGGGGGGACAAACAAAGCGTTTAATGGCCGTTTGCACCGACCATTTTAAGGAAGGCTTAACGATAAGTATTCCTCAAAGTGACATTTTTACATGTAAAACTGTCATTTTAAGGTAAACTTATCGTTAAGCCTCCCTTGAAACGGTCGGTGCAAACGTCCATAAAAGGTTCATTCAATACACGGGCGCTAGCTCGTCACCAATGACATAATGTGACTTTCGATAGGGGGACAAACTTGTCATTGAGGTTATGTGTGAGACGTCAGCTAGCACCTAATTCAAAATTTCATATATGACGTTGACCGACATGTCAACTTATAATTAATATTGGACAATTCAGTAATCATAGTCGAATTTACCAGAAATCGTTTGGTGGTCACGAATTTATCAAAGCCGTTTTCTAGCGTCCACTTTTTTGATATTGGTTCAAAACAGCAGGAGGTTTGAAACGGACAATGGGACAATAATGTTTTTCCGCAAACGACAAAAAATGACAACTTTTTCAAATTTAATTCTTAATGTTGAATTTTGACTTCACAGGCCTCATTTTTTTGTTATTTTCGTGGGCGTTCAAAAAAGTACACTTTTTTGTACGCTCACGTCACGGCCGGACAAAAAAGTGACGTCACAAAAATTTAACCCTGAGAACTACAAAACCAGTAAGCACATCTAATCCTTTTTGACAATATTTATATCCTTGAATCCACCGTATGCGGAAAATGTCGCATGTTTTATTCGGAGAAAAGCATTTTTTGTGGTTAACCAAATATGCATAAAGCTAAAATCGACGTCATCATAACCCGTGGTGCAAGCATCCTACGTCAAGGCGAGAAATGAAAAACGACACGCTGCCTACGTCATCACTGGTACTTTGGCCTGGTGAGGGATTGAGATTTTTAATAATTAACTGATCGAAAATACACAAATTTATTATGATTATTAAAGTTGTTGCAGATAGGCAGAGAATTCCAATAAAAAATAATCCATAAATTTCAGAAACATAAGCCAATTCTATGCAATTGACCGATCGGTCATCTTGACAGATAAACCATCAATTAAGCGTTATTTGTCAACCAATTGGTATTGCATTTCTTATCTGTCAAGGATGACCGACTGGTCAATCGAATTGGCTATACATTGCTTCTGTTAGGTATTAGATCTGTTTCTGCAGAAATCACAAACCAGTCAGAGTGAATTTCATTGGTTGACACTAGTTTTCTGACTGTTTTCAACCGACGAAATTCGCATTGACTGGTTTGAGATTTCTGCAGAAACAGACCCATTAAATTTGTGAAAAACTATATCGGTATGAACCGTTAAAACCGGAAATATTGGCCCGAACGGAATCGAAATATTTCTCTTACAACCAGAACCCTAACGGAACCGATATTTCATTTCGGTTCAGGTCTCTGCTCCTGAGCTGCTTTTGAGCGCCCATTAATTAAAATTCTAAAACAACGTGTTTTAAGAAAAAAATATTATCAGTGTGCTATACATATGGCTGCGATTCCCAAAAACGAGACAGATAAGCAATCCTGTGTAGTCGTGTCTAATATCCTTGAACAATCATAGCTATAAGGTTCGTTCCAACCCCCCGTTTTCGTATCGTCATGAAACGGTTTCGGAACTGTTAGGATCGATTGCAGACGCATGCGTTGACCTTGCACGGTTTTATCTTGGTACAGAAACAACGGGTAGTTGGAACGGTTTCATGATCGTTTTCGTAATGACGACAGTTCAAATAACTTTAATCCTAAATTTGTTTGTTTGCAAATTAAAATAGAAGAATATAGGATTAGGATTACAAAATAATATATAAAAAAGGAGAATCGAACACCAACGCTGATTCATTATGAAGAATCTGAAACTGAATCCTTGCAAGCTGATAACATCAAAGATTAGCAAATAGCTGATAATAAATTTTGTACTTTTTTTCACTTGAAAAAATAAAAATGCTGCAGTTTTATAAGTTAGATTGGAAATTGGTTGTTTAACAACAACATGAACAACAACAACAGGTGACAAAAATTGAATTACGCATGTCAGTCATGGATCAGTCCACGCGGTTCTTGCTTTCCACTCGGGATCGAAATGACGGTGCTAAAACCAGTTCTCGAACGATCCCAGAAATAATATAATAGTCCTTTTCACGTGGCTCCGGTTTAAACTAACCGGGTTACAAAACGGTTAGTAGCGGTATGTCAAGTATGACATACCGTTTTCTAACCCCGTTACAAATTGATGTGATCGATACCACTCGAATTTGAGCGGTATGTTGTGGTTTGATAAACCGGGGCTACGTGAAAAGGGTTATTGTGCTTTTGAAATCCTAAAGCCTAGTCTCCATAGACGCGAAATCGCGAATTTTTTTTTGCGGATATTTTCCGATTGGTTGGAATTTGACATTTAACATTTGATTTTTTTATGGCGGGAAAAATTCGCGAATTTTTTAACTTCTTGCGGCGTCGCAAAAAAAGTTAACTATTTTTTAACTTTCCGCGAATTTCGCCAAAAAAAATGAGGTTATGTGGTGTTGCTTTCAGTTTAGTTTTGTTTATGTTTTTGTCGGTATGTGCTCTGCTCTGTGCTCTGTCCTCTGTGAGTCGTTGATGTGTTTTGTAGTTTGTACTTGTAGGTACCTAATAAAGAATGGATAATGCCAAAGAATTGAATATTGTAGACCCGGCAACAAACATAAATTACAGCTTGCTGGTTGATGAGGAAGATTATAATAGGGCCTTAAATGGTTGGTAATTCTAATTTTCTCATTTAATATAATTTTAACATCTCTTCTCTATTTAAAAAATTATATAGATGATGCATTTTTGTCGATGTTATTAACACACGCAAAAACAGATGATAACATGAAAGTTTCTGAACAGACAGAGCTTGATGAGGACACTCCAGCGTCTCCAGCAATGGCGAATTTGGAAACTGAGACTAAAGACACTGAAGTCTCATTTATTTTACCCCCTAGGACAAATAAAAATCATGACCTCGAAGAACTATTGATAACAGAGGTTCAAATAAGACCACCATTATGGGATGCTAGACTTCCGTTAGTAGAAAGATCCAAACCTCCAAACCCATCCGGGAAAAATTATGGTTGGAAATAATGAGGGCACTTAAGGGTCGGTATTGAATTATTTTTAATTTTTTTGAAAAACTAAATTTTTTTCAATATAACGAACAATAAGATCAGTTTCTTTTTTAACAATTTATAATAGGTACCTACCTATGTTCTTTTATAATGTCATGTTTTTTATTAAAAATAATACCTACATAATATGTTGTTTTTTGTACTTGCAGACAGCCAGGTTAATTTTCTTTGAATGAATAAACATTTTAACTCACGTGATTTATACAAAATTTTATCTCATTCTGATGGGAATCCAAAAAATAAAGTAAAAGAAATCCAGATAAAAATAATTTATTAAGCGGTTTTTTAAAGGTAAAGTGAGTTAAAGTATGCCGAGAGTGAAATATTTTTTCTACAGACGTGCGGAAAAATCAATTTTCCGCACCGATATCCCTTACGGAAAACGGGCTTTTCACCACGTCGTGCGGAAAAACAGTTTTATATACGACCCAGATAAAAAAATTGTTGTCTTGTTAATAAAAATGAGTTACGTAATGAGTTTATCACATCACTAGTGATGTAATAAGGTCCTTAGTCCTTATTACATCACTAGTGATTATAATGAGCTCATTACATCACTAGTACGATAATACAACTTATTACGTAACTCAAACAGGCTAACAGTAACATAATAAGCTGTTATAGTGTGGGTCGTATATAAAATGTTGTACATCACACGTACGGTAACGCTCATTACAGCACTCGTGTGGTTACCACGACTCGGTCTACGACGAGTACCACGACTCGGTCTACGACCTCGTCGAACCAATCTTCCCCACTCGTTACCGTAATGAAGCTCATACCGTACTAGTAATGTAAATAACTATTTCAGCACTCGGCTATTCCACCGAACTCCGCTACGCGTCGTTCGGTGAACGGCAGACTCGTGCGGAAAAACTGATTTTCCGCACTTGTTAGGTAAATAGCTATTAACTCACTGAGCTGATAAACGTCTACTTACCTTTATTGTTATGCGTGGAATAATTTTTATAGTATATCTGCCCAAATTACCTAGATATAACTATTTTTGTGATGAACTTTTGAAAATTTGATATATTATTATTATTATGCTGGGTTGTTTTTTGTATAGAGGTATAGAGCTCTATAAATTGCAGTTTTTTTTTTTAGATAAATATCCTAATATTGACGTTACTTGTCTTCAAAAAAAGTGGAAAAATCTGAAAGACACTTATCTTAAAACTAAGTCAACTGTGGAAGCTTACATACCGTCAGGTTGTGCTGCGTTGAAAAAAAAGAAAGTTTGGAAACATTACGATAATTTATAATTTTTAAGTGATATTATGATTGTAGGAAGGTTAGTATAGTTATTAACGTTACAAGGCTGATAAATAGCAGATAAAAGCCGAGGCTGAAGTTTGGAATCCGAGCTAGGCGGCAGCCGAGGATTATAATCAGCCAAGGTAGTTATTTGCAATTATCGGTCGTGTTTCGTTCTAGATTTTTCGTCATACTGCAGATTTTGCAAACATTACATTTTTTTTTCTGTTTTAAGTTTTAGCACTACGTCTAGCTACGCTGATAATATTAATAAGGCGTCAGTACCAAAAGAACCTGAAAAAGAAATTATACCGCCACATCCCAATAAACGTAAACTAATATATAATAATTATTGTACCTATTTCGAATATTTGTAGCTTTTATAATTTATAGGTAAACTTCCTGCAACACAGAAACTAGACTCACCACAAAAAAAAAATTTAAAAGCCATTGAGAAAATATCAGAAACCCCAGAGCCTGAAGAAGACAAAATTAATCCCATTTGCCTTAAAATTTCTACTATGCTGGAAAAAATGCCAATGAAGGAAAGATCTATAGCTGAAATAGAACTATTAAAAAAAGCATTTGATTTCAGTCAACCCTACCTTTAAAAAGCATTATTGTACAGAAAACTATGTGTATTTTTTTATGTGGATAACTAAAATTTTATTTAATTACACTTTCCTATTTATTTCTATTATAATAATACAAAAATATATGTTTGTTCAATAACATATTTCATTGTTTTAAACTTTTCATACTCTATTCCATTGAAATGACAAAGCTCCATCAGAGCAGAAATGCAATGCTAAAGTCTCTCTGACACTTCCAGCATCTGCATTGTACATGTTGCTTCCTAGGCGGCCTAAGTGACATAATTCTTGCTTATCAGCTCTCCATAAACCAGGCGTCACATTTCCTAGTACATCTTCAGTGTCAAGATAATCGATAGGGCAATATTTGGCATTTTGTTGTTTGTTGCTCATCAGCCAGTTATGAAGACCAACAACTGCTTTGGTGGCATTCTCAATAGTCTCCAAAGAAGCTATGATAGGCTTTCTTAAAAGTCTCCATCTAGCTACCAATATTCCAAGGGTATTCTCACTATCTCTCCTAGCTCTGCTTAGTCTAAAAAAGATAGGAAAAATGAACAATTGTACCTACTAGTTAATATGGTACCATAAGTTTAAAGAATGAGTGTTTGCTTAAATGAAAATTAATATAAGTACAATAGATATTTACCTATAATTGAAAACCCTCTTATGCAAAGGGAGAAAATTTCCTGCATAAGGTCGCATTAAATTAGTTGTTAAAGGGAAAGCAGCATCCCCAACAATAAAATATGGCACATCATCACCTCCATCTTCAATGGGAATTGGAATTGGGAACTTTAATTGTCCATTGAATAGTCTCCTTCCAATTTCAGATTCCCTGAAAATACCACCATCACTTTGACGACCTGGCGCTCCTATGTCAACGGCAATAAATTTATATTTAGCATCACAAAGAGCCATCAGGCCAATGCTGTGAGACCCCTTATAATTATAAAATTGTGAGCCACTATGGGGTGGTGCCTATAATTAAATACTATATTATATTATAAGATTACACATAAACAGTTATTCTTACCTGCATAACTACATGCTTGCCATCTATGGCTCCTACACAATGAGGGAAATTCCAGAATAATTCAAACTCCTTTGCATATTGTACCCAACTATGTTCAGATGGTTCCTTGAAAACTTCATGTTGTAAAGCTGATCACAAGGGTTTACACGTTTCTCTTATAATATTAGAAACTGTTTGTTTCCCAATCCGAAAAGCATAAGATAAGGAAACATGCTATCACCAGAAGCCAAATATCTAAAATAAGTTTAATTTCGGTTTAATTACAAGACAATTTAAAAAAAAAATAAGGAAAATACGAACATTACGAACTTACCTCAATGTAAGAGAAAGTCTTTCTGCTGGGTTTATTGGTTCCCTTACATGAAAATGTTTTTCCATCTGGGGGCCAACAATTTTTAACAAATTATGGAATTGATCAGGGGTCATCCTCAGATAATTGAAGTATTTTTCCGGATCATTGAGTCGCATTTCCGCCAGGAGGGCGTAAAATGCTCCTTGTTCTTTCCTTTTTCTGAAAATGTCTCTAACCCACCATCGCGGCCGACGTCTAGATACAAATGTATTTTTTTTAATAGAGAAAAATGTAAATAAGACAACACCAAGACACATATCTTTTTTTGTTTTTTAGTAATCACTTTCATGGTTTTCAAAGATTAGTGTTTGAAATTCAAAACATTTAAATCAAATTCAAATTGATTACAAACAACAACACATAACCTTAACCTGTTAAATAAAACGCGAATTTCGCGCTTATGGAGACATGGGAATAATTTGCTCGGAAATAGGCACTAAAAAATGACACTTAAAAAATTCGCTTTCGCGATTTCGCGTCTATGGAGACTAGGCTTAAGGGCGGGTATTATAAAACTACTTTGAGAGTTAACTTAAAGTTAACTTCTGGAATTACATGTAATTCAAAAAGTTAACGTCAAGTTAACTGTCAAAGCAGTTTTATAATACCCGTTCTAAGGATGATACACACTTACAGGATTGTTTATCGGCCTCGTTTTTGGTAATCGCCGCCATATTGGTGTGTCACCATTTCCGACGTCATAACTAAGTCGTCAGTTGTTTACAGCCTACTTCAAGGCGAGAAATAAAATGCTGCCAACGTCACAACTGGTGATTTGGTAGAGGGGGGATTTGTTACACACAGTCCTTATGCGATGCGGATAGGCCATCCTGTAGTAGACGAAGTAGCTGCTTTGACGTGCCTTAATTATTAGAGCATCATGCTCCTGGAGTGTGACGCTCTTGAACTATTCGACATGTGTACGACACTTTAAGCACTGGAACGCGCAAAGTAATTGTGGAGCACTGTTGAGCTGCTCAGGAGTAACTCAAATGGGTCAGTGGAAAGCACCTCAGTATGCACAGCCGCTTTCCAGTATGAGAGTGTGACGCCCAGAGCTACTCGGGGCGTTGAGCTCCCGTGCTGTACGTACGCGTCAACCTGTCAGCTGTCACATCCGTGGAGGCTATTTATTTAATTATTTCTTGTTATATCCCAAGATTGAACATTTTAAAAAATATAGTTTTGATTCTCTTTCATTTATGATAAATAAAAAAACAAACTGCACAAACAAACAGATAATTATTTTTAAAATTTGACATATTTGACACTAAGACAGGCGTCTCACGTCATGATACTGGAACGGTACAAATCTAGTGCGTGGCGCCCTCGAGGTGCTCTAGAGCGCGCCAATGTGCATACTGGAAAGCGGCTCATATTGGCGCGCTCTAGAGCAGGGATGTGCGTCTACACGTAGACATTCATTGTCTACTTTACGTGTAGACAATGTAGACAACGTGTCAACAATGTAAAATAATATAAATGGCGTTTAATTCTAACCTCACACTTTCCTTTTCGAAAACTATTTTTAATTTATTATCGGTTTTCCTCATATTTATAATCAGTGAATGCTGATATCAAAGTGATAGGTATAAGCTACTTTGGTATTAGTAATTTTGGAACTTTTTTTTAAACTTTCTAAAATAAGTTTATTGTTTACGTCACATGTAGACAATGTGTAGACAAATGCCCACGTAAACAATTCGAATTGTCTACACGTAGACAATCAATTGTTTACGTTGACATTGTCTACAGGCACATCACTGCTCTAGAGCACCTCGGGAGCGCTACGCACAAGATTTGTACCGTTCCAGTACCATGACGTGTGACGTTTGTCCGTACGTATACCACGGGAGCTCAACGCTCCGAGTAGCTCCGAGCGTCACACTCCCATACTGGAAAGCGGCTAGTTTGTATCATCCTTGTTACCGTGCGTTCGTTATTTTGGTCTGAGTTCTCCGAGCTTGACTTTACCGTTCGTTTATTTGAAAAGTGTACTCGGTGCAGCCTCATTCGCGTTCGTTTATTAAACTTTCTGACACTTTTATACAGCCTTCAACTGCTCTGTTCGCTCGCTGGTCACGTGATTACGGCTCCGCTCAGCACGCTCTGCTCTTTGAGCAAAATACCGAACGCAAGATTAAAATCCGACCACGCTGCGCTCGTGTAGGTATTTGAGTAATGTCACAAAATCCTAACCTAATATTTAAATGATTGTTGTTGTGTTTATTTTTAGTAGTTGTTTACCTTCCTAGGCATTCAAATTTCTTTGAAAATATTGCGAATTGAAATGAACTATTAAACTGTAGTGTTTGGTGTCGGTCGGTATTAAAAAGGACTATTCGGTTTTCCGCGAATTAGTGACAATTAACTTGTAAAAGTGCATACCTAGAGAAATTATTGGTTGCTGGAAGAACTTGTGTGCAGTGTGCGTCATGCGAGTTTCCCAGTTTCTATTTTTTGAACTTTTATTTTATATTAGGTCTGTTTCTGCTGCAGAAATCACAAACCAGTCAGAGTGAATTTTATTGGCTGAAACGAAACTAGTTTTCTGACTGTTTCAACCAATGGAATTCGCTCTGACTGGTTTGTGATTTCTGCAGAAACAGACCTATTAGGTATATTCAACAAACAGGGACTTACTATGTTAGAGAAACTTGAAATTTCTTCAATAAAATGCCTCCAATTGGAAATACCAAGGTAAAATCATAATAGATACAAGGTAAGAATTTTATATGGTGGTCCTACCTGTTGAGTTCATGTCTTGAAAGTTCTTGTTCTTGTTTCTGCATGATTTTATAGGTTTTTCATAGTTTTAGTTTCCTTAGGTTTTTTCAAACAGGGTGCAAATAAAGCAGGTAGGTACCATAGACCTCTTACGTCACGGCGAGGAACGACACGCTCTCTACGTCATCACTGGTGCTTTGGCGTGGTGGGGGCCGTAGGGGGCTTGGAATTTGATCTACAAAGGCTATATGCGGATGGGCTATCCTATGGTTGTCCTATCCTATTTAGTGTGTAATAATCCTTGGATCTCCCTCTAAAACCGTCTCAACTCCCAACCCTCTGAAGCATCATCCGGTGATGCCAAGGAAGACTTATGTCTAGATAGAGTGTACCTAATGCAGCTTTTTTTTTCAATAAGGGTTTTTTTTTTCTCCGGTTCAACTTACTTTCCAAGGTGGCATCCCTAGGTACTGATTTATTGTGACTTAAAAAGATTTTTACTGATTTATGCTGATTTTATCTCATTTGAGAAAAAAATGGCTAATTTTATACCTAGATTTATTCAAGATTTCAATTGATTTATGCCCGAGGTTTGTACACCGATTAAGTGGAGTTATCTCCCCCTTGGGAAACAGGCATGCCAATTCCCTATAAGTGATTGATTTACTTTACTTTATCTAGATTTTTGGAGATTTCTCTTGATTTTTAGAAATTTATCCTGATTCAACTAGATTAAGTTTTAGTGATTTATTGTGATTTATAAAGATTCTCACTAATTTATGCTGATTTTATCTCATTTGAGAAAAAAAACAGCCAACTTATATACTGAACTAGACTAGGTGATGAACAGAGATTTGTTGTGATTTACAGGTGGTTTATCTTGATTTTTGGAGATTTCTCTTG